GCCCGCGACGTCGGGATACCCGCGGCCGGCGCGGTTGTAGATGCCGCCCGTGGCCGGGACGGTGCCGTCGTCGGTCGTGTACGACTTGTAGCCCGGGTCGTGCTTGGAGAAGTAGCTTTTCAGGGCGCGCCTTGTTAGAGTCTCGCGAGGAGGACACGGGGTGTAAAGGTGATGATGACGAGACTTACGCGGAGACGGCATCCTTCTGGTAGTCGGGCGTGGACCAGATATTGCTGAAGCCACCGCCGGAGGAGAAGGTCTCGGTGGCAATCTCCTCCCCGCCGGCAAGGAGGACGGTAGACCCGACAGACGTCACGTAGGGACAGCTGGCTTGCTGGCTGGGGGTGAAGACGTCCATCTGGGGACCGAGGCAGGGCCCTGACCGTCGGGCGACGCCGTCGTCGCCGCTCGAGAAGACAATCGAGGTGCCCTGGAGACCGAGCTTCATGAACTCGTTGCATTGTCGCTGTAGATCTCATGTTAGTTGCAGGGGAGTCGGTGCAAAGCAGGGCGAGTTTCTACGGTACCTGGAGGTATTTTGTCGGGTAGTCGGCCTCGGCGGTGCCGTAAGAGAATGACATGACGTTGGCGGCCTTGAAAGTGCCGCACATTTCACGAGGCGTGCTTCCATCAACGGCAGGGTCGTCGCCGGGGTCCTTGCAGTAGCTGCCGTCGACGGCGTCGAGAAAGGTGTTGAAAATGTCGTCGTTCTTTCTACCAGCTTCGTACAGCTCCGTTTCCTGAGGGTAAATGATGGGAATGGCGATTTCAAAGTCGAGATCGGACTCGCCGCCAGCGCTTCCCTGGTCGACGGGGGCCGTGGCGCCGTCAATCAGGTCGTTCTTGGGTCCAGTGCCTTTTGGAATGTGTGTGGCGTACTTGGAGTAGAAGGAGTCCAAGTCTTCCTGGGAGTAGACGTCTTCGGATATCTCAAAGATACCCATGCGGTTTGAAGCATCATGCAGTGTGCCGTCAGTGATGTTGTATTGAGACTTGATACACGCGGGTGTGATGTACTCGGCGCAGTTATCAGTAGAGTCTTTTTGCGAGAAATTTGTCAGTCTTGTCCGGCATCTTGACTTTTTTTTTTTTTTTTTTTTTTTTTTTTTTTTTTTTTTTTTTTTTTTTTTTTTTTTTTTTTTTTTTTGGGAATCCGCTTACATACCAGGATGGGCTGCCAGCAACTGGGCAACTTCCGCCGAGAGCGGCTTGTGAGGTCTGATGATGCGGCCATCATTTCGCTTGACGTTGTTTGAGGGCTTGCTGGTCTGTGACATGACGACGGCAGGGGTAATAAAGTCGACGAGGTCTGAGATTTCGTTGGGGAGCGAGTACTCGTCCGTGCCTATGTGGGCGTTTCGAGCCTGGATGTGGTCATACAAGTGGTACTTGGTCTTGAGAATCGACTCCAGCTCTCCCACGGTGGACTGGAACTCGACCCAGCCCTTGCTCTGGGGGAATGTAATCTTGTCGGCAGAGACTCCAGACTTGATCAGCCAGCTCTTGACGGCGTTGATGGAGCTCTCATCAGGGGCAAAGAGTGCAGCAACCTGGTCCTTGGAATAATGCTGGCCATACTTGGCAGAGGAGGGATCAGAGCTGTGAGTAGGTCAAAAAATTAAATCCCCGCAAAGTGGTGTTTTGATGGTTTGAATTACGCCACTTACACCTCGAGGAGGTAGTCCATGCCCTGGTCCAGGTTCTTCTGCTTCAGAGCAATTCTCACGGGGACCTTGGTGTTGGCGTCGGCAGCTTCACGCTTAGTCCATCGGCCACCGGACACATCGCGCTTTTCGTGGATAGTGTTTGAACCAGTTGGGACGGCGATGGTCCCGGCGAAAACGCCGTTGAGAAGAATGAGGCTGATCTTCATCCTGACTACTTTCTGTAACAACACACAACTGTGTTGATTGGATGCAGTGTTGGAGATGATGATTTACAAAAAAACATCCATGAGTGAGGAACTTGGTCCCTTTTATGCTCGTCTGAGCGGCTGTCAGAGATGTATCGTCATGTTCCTGAGATGGCTCGTGATCACGAAGCTAACTACACCCCGGTATTCAATCATGGTGTTCCGAGGGTAAATAACCGGATTACGTTCAACTGCAGCGCATACTGCTCCGACCTTCCCATTCGGTTAGAGAACAAAATATGCCATTGTTAGCTTCCGTGCTTGGCAAAGCAGTCTGAAACGAGAGAGTACAACGCTAGCATCTACACCTCGTTATGCCTAGGAGAGCAAGTAGGGTGAAGACAACAGACCCCTTTGAGTGATGAGAATATACTTTAGCCAAACAGTCGGAGCTAAAAGAAGAAAAAATTATCAGGGCAGAGGACCTTCCATGTTAAGAAACGCTGCCACGGAAGCCCGACAGGCTCGTTTGCCGATGAAGTACACAAGACTTCCAATGACGGCGTCAGCATATGGACTTGTATTCTGCAATAGTAATCTCCAAAAACCAGGCAGATATCTGTCGGGATCGATAGGGAAAGCACCGCAAAGGTGACATGGTCCACGTCTCTGCAAGCCAATGACGTACAAGGAGCAATCTACAAACAGAAAGGCCACTTGAACGGGATGACGATTTGGACATGGTGGGCAAGCCCATGCGCAAAGGCTCCGGAATCGGCGCTATCTGGAAGCTGTTGTGTATATGAGCCCATACGAGGTGGACTATTCAGGCATGTGAGCCGTCACAATAAGGCGTAATAGTGAACCATGCAGACAGAGTAGACGGCGAGGCACGCGATCAAACCAGAGCCATCAACGGCAACGTGCCTTGGTGCCTAATGCAACATGACCAGGTCAGCACGCCCGAATCACAAGCCTTAACACCAAGGAAAGATAAAGTCGCGTAATCGCGCAACTTAGACCGTCGGGCTTAGCATCTTCCCCTTTGGGGCTTGCCTACCTCGCCGAGTCGCATCGTCGACGACAAGGCCCAACGTTCCAATCTATCGTCGTAGGGTGGCGTCAGTTGGTGAAACGCGAAGTGTATTTCCTCCATGGACAAATCGTGCTTGGTAGTCGGCGTTTCCTGATACCCCACGTATGGAATCGTCAAGCCCCCGGGACAAACCCCAGCCTCTCACGCCTGGCGATACTAGATATGAAAGGCTTCGATTAAGCTTTCTTCCCCAACTTTGAGACGGATCCGCAGGGGAATTGTGCGGAGCAGCCATGTCTGGCCGTTGGAGGAGCGCCACATGTCAGCGACTCGGCAAAACACACAAGCGTGCTTGAAGCGAATTGATATCAAAGATGCAGTCGTGATTAGGAAGGTACAACGGATTGCTCGGGACACGTGCGCATACGCAAGACGCCGTCCTCTGACGACATGCATCCTTTTCCAGCGCCAGGAGGAGACGAGTTGGAGAATTGGAGAATTGGAGAGCTGGAAGAGCTGGAAGAGTGCTACGCTCCTTGCAGCAAGTGGTCCAATGCAACCAGTCTGTCCGGATTCACGATGCCGCATAGCCGACGCACCTGCGCCAAGCCGGCTCAGCAAGCCAGGAAATCCCCGCTTGTGGAGCATGGGAACATCAGGAACCGTTGAGCTTCGTCTCGTGTCGTCAACTGGTGTGCCTCGCAAATCCTCCTTCTTCATTCAGCCCTAGAAGCGGGTAAATCACCGTCGATGATTAGCAATGCATGGTGCCTTTCTGGACCAAAATCCACCTCCTCTTTTCGGCTTGCTTCTTCAAGACGGAAAAACCGTCTCTTCCAGATGAGCGGTCTGCATGCATCGCCAGAGCTGCAGTGGTACGTGTGGGAGAAATCCCGATTGGCATTAACAAAACACTCACGTCTTTCACCCCTGTGCAGTAAGACAGCATCGGCGTACAAAAACCTAGAAGCCGAAAAGAAGCTACACAACCCAGCTGTCATGGTGTCCCGTAACGCAAGATGGCCACGTTGTTGATAGAGGTGAGTCTACATGAGAAGCACATGAGACTCGCATAGATTTGAGTCGGCATGATCATTCCTTCCCAGAGGTACTCAAATCTACCAGATATGAAGCCGCCCGAACATTGCTGTCTGTGTCTCTAGAGGTTCCAGCCCCCGACATGTTCAGCCGTAGACTGTCGTCGCTGGCAATGTTCGTCAGAGCTAGTGGAAATGGCTGCAAGCGCGCAACCTCTCGGCCCCCTATAAATCGGCAGATATTTTTAATGGCATTCCAGCAAATCCTACCTTGAACGAAAAGAGTTGTCTTGGTCCCATAACTCAAAAGGCTTCGGCGGCTCTGTCCTGTCCACCACTTACAAGCTTGCCGGGTGGATATTCACGAGGACCAAGGAGCAGGATAAAAAGACGAGACTAATTGGCGGAAAGCATCCGTGGCCATCTTCTTGGCCAAGTCAAGATGAATCCCATGCTAGATACTGTTGTCTTGGCAAAGGAGCCGCCGCACCCATAAAAAGGTCCAGAGACGGCACTGTATCAAGATGACCAACTGCTTCCGTATCAGCGGGCGGTTTCGTCATCAGTAAAAACACCACATCCCTCACATCATGGTCCTGACGGCGCCGCGCAGCCCTGCTCTCACCGGCTGTGCGACAACCCCGGGCTGGTCACACTGCCGCACCGAGCTGAGGAAGGTCAACAGGAGCAACGGCCGGAAGAACGCCACCTGGTCGCCCAGGGGAGACCAAAATGCTCAAGGTGACCATGGCTGTCATCAGGTCTAATGACGGGACGTACGGAACCGCCATCGGCCAAGACCGGCAAGAGGCTTGCCGAAATGTACCACAGCCAAACGGGGGAGATTGTCGTCGGCGTCCCAAGCCCAATGCGCACAGTGGCCAGAGGATCACCAGGCTTGCAACTGTTCCCGTCGGAGCACAATTTGGCTATGAAGTTGACCGCTCAAACAACCTTTTTGTCAACCAGCATGATGGGAACAAGACGCAGCTTGACACGTTTGAACGGCAGTGCTACTTCCAAGTCGGGGGATTACAACCAGGGCAAATCTGCCGACGGCTCTGTGGTCCATATCGCGGCTGTCAGTGTCAGCCATACCTAGGAGGGTCTAGGTGAACCGATGTTGAATACCCCTTTTTCTTTCTCTGGCGTGGTGCTGTGGTGTGTTGGCGCAGTTTGTGCCATAGTAGTGATGGAACATGTTTATGACGACTCTGTCTCTTTCACGTAGCTAGTAGGCGTTGAGTAGGAATAAATACGCAGCCATCTTGGAGAAAGAAAGAGCGAAAGGAAGAAAAAAGGTCAAGAAATAAACCAATTATTGCTTAGGCATATTGTTATACCTGTTAAAGACTTTCAAAGGGACGCAAGGGTGAACGCGCGTTGAGTGACATCAAACAACCCCCATCACGGCCCATCTACAGCCGCACATCCAACCTCGTCCAAAAAGTCCCATCATCCTCATGGCCCCTGTGCATGGACCCCCGCATCACCTATAGGCACAATAACCGAATAGCTCATCGGACTCTCCCACGGCTGCACCCCCGTCCCCAGAAACATCGGCGTCGTCGTCGCATCCTCAGAAAAGTACAACTGCGGCCGCTCCCTCCTATAAAAGTTGACGACAGACCCGTCGTTATACCTGACCTCGGTACTAAACGCCAAAGTCCGGCTGCCAAACGTCCACGGCCCCTCGTAGTCGCGCGCCCAGGCATGTCGACCAACCCTTGGTCCGTCTCCGAACCCGCCCTCTGGCTCGAGCGAATGCAGCAGCATATGGTAGTTGCCTCTCTTGTCGCGCCAGACAAACGGGTCTTCGTTGCCGTTGGGGAAGACGGGACCCTGCTGGACCTTCTCGTAGGGCCCAGCGTAGCCGGTTTCCGATACCGCAACATTGATGAGCTCCTCTCCAGAGCAATTGTACGGGCAGCCACGGTAGGCCAACAGCACCGCCGGTGTGTCGCCACCAAATCGGCCGTGATTTCCAAAGTTTGTCTCCGAGAAGAGCGGCAAGGCAGAGGGATTCGTGACGTCTGCGTCCCAACCTCTGCCGTTGTTCCCTTTCAAGACCTGCCCCTCGGGCGTCCAGTTCCGTAGATCGCGGCTGGACATGACGGCGATGCCGCTTTCGCCGTTGTTCGTGTTTCCGGCCCCGCATGAGAAGCGCTTGCTTTGGCACGCATCGGCAACGTCTGTCGGGCAGCCAATGTGGTACATGAGCCATTCTCTGTCGGCAGGGCTGTACACCACGGTCGGGTTGTGCGCAAAGGTGCCCCGGACTTGGGCGGCAAACTCGTACGGTCCGGCGGGACCAGAGCGAGATTCTGCTCTGATGATGCGACTGTATGGTGCCCAGTAGTCGAGGCCGCAGCCGTGGCTGAACTCGGACACAAAGAGGTGATGTAGGTTGCGTTCCAGGGGGTCCCTCACGATGCTGTTGCACCAGGATGATGTTCCTTTGGCTGTCTGGTTGTAGCCATTGTCTCGTTTGGCTGGGCGGACGTCGAGAATGCCGCAATCGTCTCCGATCCAGCCGGCATCGCAACGGCAGGCGGCGTCACGGCCGCAGACACCGTTGAGACTGCAGTCTTCGTCATTGGTACATGTCTGGTGGGAGAGACGGGAAACGGCGATACAGGAAGCCAGAAGCCGGGCGATGCGATGCATCCCAACCATGGTGGGCTTGGCTCTAGTCATTGCAAAGATACAAGTGCCTTTGCCAATGCCCAGCTTTGAGCGTTTGGACAGAAATGTGACTGGAATCGCCCATTTCTTGGTTGGACTCTGATAACTCCATCATTTGACACATGCCGTGGGGGTCACTGGCTCAGTGACACGTTTGACATCCCGTCGGATATTGACAATAATCCAGGTCGTTGATCCTTGCCAAATAGAGGAACTTGTGCAGGGCATCGTGGTTGTCATCGCAGATGTCATCCTGGTGGTGCGGGGAAGTTCCAAGTTTAAACCCAAGGCCGCAAACGCGTGGGGTGCAAGCTGGTGGGCTGAAACGGTCACCTGGTGTGTTTGAGGATAAGCTTTTAAAAATATCTTGTAATCTGCTTCTTCTTGTTGCTTCGGATTTCTGCAAGGATGGAAGGGACTCAAGAGATGATGACCCAGGACCCGGTATTGAATTAAGGGCTAAGAACGCTTTGAAAGGTTAAAAAAAATGGCACCTAGGTAAATTTAAAAGTAAACCTAGAAAAGTCAAAGTCATAATTCCATTACAGTAATAATGCAAAAATTCCAAAATAAAAAACCAAGCTAGAAAGCATCGTGGAACGATCTTTGCTCCCGGCAGGGCTTGAACCTGCGGCCTCCGCATCACTAACGTTTATTAGTACGAAGCTCTAACCAACTGAGCTACGGAAGCTTTCCTGCCTGTTGCCGACTAGGTGCTTATTCATAAACAAGAAGCATGATAAAAGCAAATGCCTATCATAAGCCGTCGTCTTCTGCGTCCCATTGTCACTTTGCCCAACCCGATATAGTTCTTTCTGTTTTTTTTTCACAGCCAGCACACCCATGGATTTCCGAGCTGTCCAGCTAACCACGCAATTGGCTGTTCTTATTATTCAGCCAGAGGGGCAGCCTGTTGAATCTTCTCATCACCCAATCACGACGTTGTCTCCGGTCTCCGTGACAAATCCTTCTCTTGTCAATCATCGTGCCGGGAACAAAACACATTGAACACGCCTTTGAAGCGATTCCCGCCATTGATTCCACACACTTTCGAGTGTCAAACGCCGTCTGGCCTTCCAGATTCCTCATCTGTGTCAAGCCTTCTCATATGCTGGGCATCACAAAACGCCGAGATGCGTAGCTTTCTAATAGATCAGCCATCGCAAACCCCATTCAATATTACAAATGACATGATTTGCTTGCATCCCGCGGCATCCGGGTGTTTGCTTAAAAGTCGTGCCCCTTGAAACGGGATGATTTAACCATCGCCAGCAACAACAGCTCAGAATCAGCGCAAACTAACAAAACAAGCCCAACGACAACATTGACACACTGAACAACTCCAACAACACCACGAAACAGCAATGTCTAACACATCCACCGCCTTCGTCGAAGCCAACGGCGCCCAAATCTTCTATCTTCTACAGAGAAGCCGGCCCAAGCGGCGCAGACGCACCAGGGGATACCGCGCCCTCGCCCCAGACCTGCCCGGCTTCGGCCTCACCACAGTCCCCGACAACTACGTCCACAGCTTCGACAATCTCGGCACCACAATCGGCGCCTTCGCCTCGGCCTTGTCTCTCCAAAAGTACGCCCTGTACATGTTTGACTACGGCGCCCCCACGGGCCTGCGCCTGGCTCTCAGGAACCCCGACAAGGTCGTCGCCATCGTCAGCCAGAACGGAAACGCCTACGACGAGGGGCTCGGCGCCGAGTTCTGGGCCCCCGTTCGCAGATACTGGGCCTCTGGCGCCGACGGGGACCGAAACGCCCTCGGGGGTCTCCTGGAGCCGGGCGCGACCAAGTGGCAGTATACGCATGGCTCTCCCGACGCCGACAAGGTGCGGCCGGAAGCGTACGCCCTCGACCAGGCGCTGATGGACCGCGTGGGCAACAGGGACGTGCAGCTGGACCTGTTCTACGACTACCGCAACAACGTGGCGCTGTGCCCCCAGTTCCAGGAGTACTTGCGCATCTCCGAGGTTCCGGTTCTGGCCATCTGGGGCAAGAACGATGTCATTTTTGTTCCTGCCGGCGCCGAGGCGTTCGGGAAGGATGTTGATAAGCTCGAGGTGAAGCTGCTGGATGCTGGTCACTTTGCGATTGAGACGAATGAGGAGTTTGCTGATAGTATTGTCTCCTTTTTTGACAAGTATCAAGTGTTTTGAGGCCGTGGAAGAAACGTACAACACAAGCGTAACAAACTGGACGAATATTTTTCCAAGTTTCGTGCCGGAAAATCTACTTTTACAGTGGGGAAGCAACGTATCACTTGTGTAGAGCATCTTTGTTGGCGAGTGGCAAGGCGAACGTGCTGTCGAGGCAAGGGCGCAGGGCAACTGCCGCGTCTATCAGAATGCCCAAAGATTGATGAATCAATCACAATCCGTTCATATTCACCAAGCCAGTGGGGACCAATCCTCACCAATTCACATGCAGCTCAGAAAGCATTCACTCCCCGTTCAGCCAGAAACCGCAGCCAAACCACCACCAGTCACACATACAAAACCCTCCGTCAACGCCAAACCCCCATCACACACACCTCCATCCACAAGCAAAACCGCCGGCATCACGCCCTCGTCACCCGGCATCACAAGCTCCCATGGACGCTCCCACCACGGCCGCAGCCACAGACACGGCCCAGTGCGACAAGTGCAAAAAGTGGTGGCCCCGTCCCAAGCTCACGCGCTGCGACACCTGCTTCACCAAGACCTGCCTCGGCTGCCAATGCGAGCTCGCCGGCGGCCTACACTCCCACGTCAACGACTGCTTCGCCTTCCCCAACAACCCGGGCGTCGCCTTCGACCCGCTCCTCAGGCCGTCGCTCGCCGAGTTCTCGCCGCGCCGGGGCCTCCTGCGGCCCATCCAGCGGCCCTTCACGGCGATTTTCGAAAGGACGTGGATCCACGACCGCCCCCGGCAAGACACGTTCCGCCTCCTGATCGACTCGTACCGCCTCCGCCTCCACGACGCGTTCCTCTTCGAAGGCCAGGCGAAGCCGGGCACCATATACGCCGGCGCCGCCGACTCCCAGGGCGACTTTGTCCAGCGCTACCTCGGGGCCGCGTGGGAAAGGGGCCTGCTGCCGCCGTGGTGGACGCGGGAGGCGCTCCTGCAGTGCCGGGACGTGGGCATGGCCGACTTGCAGTTCCACTCGCTGAGGCAGCAGCTCACGCAGGCCATGGTGGTGGACTACTACCAGGACGCGACGTTTCCCACGCAGCTGCGCCTGTTTGCCGAGGACGTTCTGGGCATGGGCACGTGTCTGAAGAGCTGTCGCCCGTGCCTCGACGCGCTGGTCGACATGGAGGACGACGAGCCCGGCGGGACGAGGATCTTCGACTGGAACGCCTACAACACCGCCTATGTTCATCAGGATTGGGAGCGGCTTTGAGAAACGGCGCCGAGTAGGTGTCGTGAACGGATGGGAGGTGCTGCCCGTGTTGCCCCGGGGCCGTAAATCACCCCCTAGATGGCATGGCGGCAGTAGTAGGAACTGATATGTCGTTGCTTACAACCGGGCGTATACTGAATAGACATGGCTTTGCACCCCTGGGATTCACAATTCCAGCAAGCGAATCCCCGAGGATTCTTCCGTCGAACTCTCTGATCCCTCTTGGCCTTGCAGGACAAGTCCGGCGGGCACAATGCTCCCGGGCAAGTGATGTCGCCGTCAGACTTGCAACCCTCCTCCTAACCCACGCGTGATGTATCAAGGCCAACGCATCAGACATTCTTGCCACCCACCTCCCTTGGCCGTAATGTCTCTCAGCTTCCCATCTGCGCACGCCTCACTCTTGGCGCGTGCGCGGTTTGTCGACCCTGGCCTGCAAGCTTCTCGATGAGTCCAGACCACCTCGTTGAGAGCCTCAAAATAGAATTCCCTTGAAAAATGACCCCATGAGAAACACTGATGGCGGAAGTAAATCGTCCGCAACACACTTTTCCACGTCTATTCAATGGAACCTTGAAAGATCAAATCGACCCTGCAATGAAACACATTCATCAACATCCAACAAGGAAAATCCAGACCGCAAGACCCGACGAGACCCAAGCCCCCCCACCCTTTGCCCAAGGTATTCATGTCAAAAAGTCCGTTATAACCTTCCACACAGACCACAGACCGAGGTTCTGGCCCTTTGCTATATAAATAGAGCCCTCCAAGGACACGGCGCACCTCATATTATACTCGCGTGCCCACCGTGCCTTGTCACGTGTGGCTGCGCTTACACGCCATGCATGAACGTCAGCCAGCCATTTATTGAGTGGCTGCAACCCTGCATACCACTGTAAATAGAAAGCACATGGTATTCTTAAAGCGCCCGGTGCTTGTTTTCTGCAGTACAATAGGAGCTGGGAGTGCGGGTTCGGGTCCGGTGGCCTCGTCACCGTATCGTTCCTAAGCCACAGCAAGTATAGATACGGTACGGTAGACGGCACAGTCAGATGAAGGCCAACCTCGCCTTTGTATACCAGCCGCGAGCCGAAAAAAGAGTCCGTGACTTTCCGTGGAGAGACGGCGTTCTGCAGATGTGCGAGTTGCAGGGGCGATGCTGGGCGTCGCAAGCCGTGGCGCAGCCTTACTATGCGCTGCCCAGCCTTTTGCGAGGAAAAGCGAGTTCGGAATTGAACCATGCAGGTAGCCAGGGAAATGTCACCTCCGAGGTCCATGAATGCCTAGTTTTCGAAATGGTTTTGCGCGTCACGGCACGCTGCGTTGCGTGTCATGCGTGGCAGCAGACGACGCAAGCGTCACAGGACATTGCCGTACGCCATCATTTCTTCGTCAACGGTTTCTCAAGACGAGGCAGTCATTGTCCAGCGGCCCCCAGAGGCCCAAAATGGCGACATGCGCATGCAACGCGGCCTTGGTGACTCCCTCGACACCTCGGCTGTCCTTGGCCGGTCGATACTGCTATGCCGCAAAACGCAAAGTATCTTGGGTAACGATTAGAGACACAAACGCAGCCCGGTGATAATGCCCAATTCCTCCGGAATCGGCTCCGATAACTACACACATATCTCCGAGGACAAAAGGCTCAGAAACCTCTTCTAGAGTCTGGACCGCCATCCATGGTGAACAAAAACCATCCCAGGCGGACGGAGGAGGGGCGTGTGAATTGGCAAGAGCAGCCAGGTCCTGATAGATGAATAAAACATTACTCCTGTGCCAATGCCCGCTCGGCAGCAAGCCGAGAAGCAACGGTCTGTCATTCTCGCCGGCGCATCAGAGCACGAGCTTGAGCTCGGCCCCAGGCCGAGACTGAGTCTAGAACAGACGGAGAAGCACCGCTCCTAATAGGCAGAGTCGCAGCCCGTTATCAACGCAGTTCAAGCAGCAGGAGAGCGCGTGGTTCTGCAAGCCACGGGGCTGGTCTGGACAGTCACTATTCGCTTCTCTGTGGAAGCGCAAAAAAGGAACAAGGGGATTCAAGATACAGAGTGCATGGCAATTGACAAGTGACAATGGGAAAGCCCATAGAGAGCTCCCACTTTCCTATTCCTTCAGGCAACGAAACGTTAAAGCGGTGGCTGTCAATCCGACCAATGCAAACCATTATTGATGTGTTGCCGGACAGAAGGTGGGATGTGAAACATGGAGTGCCGATCTTTGGGGATCTAGAACGTACGTGGGATGCTGTCAGATTGGCAGACTGTTTCCTGACTCGATTTTCTCAAATTTGCAGCCCTGCTGTCACGGGAGGTTGTACTCCGGATCATGTTTTGAGTTTGACTGATGTGACAGTGTCTGGGCTGTTTCTGGCTGTCAACTGCGACTTGAGCCCACTCCGGTACTGACTGGGCTCTGACATTTGGAAGTCCTCGTTTGATTACAGAGTCCCTCGATGTCGTGCATCTCCAAAAGGGTCGCTACTTTGCCATACAGTGCTGCTTGCCAGGTCGACACCGTGATTCTAGCATGGAGCTGCCGACTCCTAGCCAAGGGCCGGCCGGCGCGTGACCGACGTGTAGTAGACCACGTAAGCTCTGGTTCGGGAGCTGCGACTCGAATGCTGTCCAATGAATATCGATACCGTCAGAATGCAAATATAAACCACGCTCTGTACGTGCCGTCGCGGAGACCACAATGGACGTGCCGTCGGCTCAAAGAGGGCTTGTTCGAGAACCTCCTCGCCAGAAGCTTATTCGGTTTTGGCTACAAAAAGGCTTCCCAAAAGGAGTAGGGAGCCATCCCCCTCATCGTTACTTTCCATTTCATCGTGTCGTGAATGCATTTCAGATACTATGCATTGCAACTCGCGCCTTTGCTCCAATCGGCTGGCTACAGCGGTGGCAATGTGCCTTCATCCAAGGCTTGACATGATTCCATCGACGTTACTCGTCCAGCTCGAATCATGTCCAAAAGTCATCCTAGTCTAGATGATGAATTTTGCCATGTCAGTTCATCCAGTACTCGCCCATTCTCTCGCCCATTCGAAGCATGTTGTGTAGGACCACCATGGCAAATACTAGACATTGTTGCCGCCACTCGCGCGTGGCAGGAACTTGAGGCAGGAACATTGTAGCAGCCAAGGTATGTGAAGGCGGCTCCATGAGTCAAAATACAATCTATACCAAGAGTCAGGAGCAGCCCCAACAGCATCGGTAGGCGTATTACCCAGAGACGGGATTTCTACTCAGCCAGCCCAATCACCAAACCGCAGCCTCATCCTCAGCTCGTAGTTGTTGTAGGTGCCACCGAGTTAGAAAATAGGCTCCTCGGATTTGGCCCACCGCCCAAGGAGATGGTTGTCTCGCCAGAAGTCGCCTCCGTGCTGGGTATACAATGGCGCAGCTGGGTGACTTTCTACAAGGCGTTGTCATTGGCGAAGCGCTGAACTACCAAGTGCCCTTGCAGCTATTTTCCGCTCTATCAGTATCATCTTCTCCAACGAGGAAATACGGGAAACCTTTGTGGTTACGTGAGACCTTCCAAGTTTGATGCGTGCTGGCAATTTGGAAGCTGCTCCGAGAGATACAACATTGAGAGTTTGCGGAGTACTCCGTAGCCTCAGCTTAGCTATCAATTGATGACATTGGTCAAGTGTCCAACATTGAACCGGCAAACGGCACTGTACTTTTCCGTCGCTGAAAGTCGCGACCCACTACGCCAACACCTCACCCAGGTCCCCGAGACAGACGAGTGCTGAGAACTGGTTGCAAGCTT